TGCCCCTAAACTACTATCTTTTCTTTATCCATATTGCTGTTTTCAACCTACCCTCCTTTTTAAGGCAACTGATGGGGACTTGCAAACTGAAGAGAAGAAACTTCCCCTACAATGAAACTCCCACTTACTGGCAAGAATACAATCTTATAATCAAGCACAGCTGTAAGAGTCACTTTCTATGGGTAAAGGCCTCTAGTTTCACATTCCTGTTAATGTAAAGTAAATTCCCTCTGTATAAACCCTAAACTGTAGTCTCAAACTCTGTTAAGTGCCTCTTATGGGATTGGGTTTCAAGCCCTAATGGAAAACCAACCTATCAATTAGCCCATCAGATCGTTAAGAAGGATAGGGGAATAGTGCTTACCTCGGGAGCTCGTTAGGGAAGGGATTTTTATGGCCGAAAGGGCATTTTTTGGCTGACCTGAACCGACATCGAAATAGAACTTCCTTCCACTAAGCTGGGCTTAATCCGTATTCAACTGCTGTGCTGCGGGCTTAACTTTAAAAGGTAGAGCTGGCCCTAAAAAGAACCATTAACGGAAAAAGACAGCTTTAAAGTAAAGGTTGAAAGACTCATTTTTTGGTTTGTCAATATAAAAGGAAAATCTGTAAGTGTGATTTACCACACCGTTTTTTTTAAAGTTTAGGATCTGTAGGGTTTAAACAAGGCCCTTTTAGGCATTCACAATAGTAAAGTGGACTTAACCCGTTCCTCGTGGGATTGATCTTTTTATTACTACGTTGCGATCCGTATACTTGCGGGAACTCAAAAGAGATGCAACACAGCATCTGCACCCTACATTTAAGCGTGCCTTTAATAACTATGCCAACAATGGCAAAGGAATTATCATATTCATCATCGTCATCCTAGGAAGAGTAACCTTTTTATTGTTTTTGCATCTTAAGATCTGTTCAGTTCTAAAATCAAAGACCCAATCTTGATTTTCTTGTTTATCACATAAATAATTGGGTTTAATGGTTTTGTTTATTGCTTGAATATCTTGGGTTTAATTGATTTTTTTACTGTTTGAATATCATTGTGTTATGGCACTGCTGGACTTAGGGTAGTTTCACTGTTGTAGTTAGGGTAGTTTTATTTAGTTATTCAGTTTCTATCATGTTACTATCAGTTTCTTTGCTAGTGGGTATTAGTAGGGTGGTTAAGCAAGTTATTTATTGTAATAGGTAGCTATCAGTGGCTAGTTATTGCAGTGGGTAGTGGATGGTTTTAGCTTTTGCATTTAGTTGTTTAAAAGGCTATGTTCAAGAAAAGGTTTTGAGTATCTACAACTCAGAGATTGTAGAGTTCTCTCTTAACAAGCTCTAAGAGATTGCAGATTCTCTCTAAGTTTGTTTCTATGACACCTTATCTCAAACCTGATCCAGTAATTCAAAGACCCATAACTAGATCCAGATTTGGGACATTATTCAACAACAACTTGTTAGAATCTTGACATTATTCTTAGAGGAACAAGCTGCCAACAAAGTCTGACATGAAGAACTAAAATCTAAATTAAATGCCCTCACACGTGTTTTTTGTGATTCAAAAAAAACATCAACAATGGAAAGGAGCAGCCAAAATCAAGCACTGAAAGCAGAAGGTCCAGTAGGTTCAGTCAGTCTACAATCCTAGGGGCACTACCATTGTTTCCAATTCACAAAGTTGGATTTTCTTGGACCAGCTATAAGGGAGGTGTGATCCATAATAGCCTTTGTAGCGGCGAAAAGTGCCTGCTCTGCCCAATTGAGCAAATAATTTTTTGAATAGAGGTAATTTCTTTTGTAAATTGACACCCACTGAAACTATTTTTCTAACTAGATCACTGAAAAAGTATTGTAAGAAAATTGTTTGATAGACTAAGGGTTTATAGGCTAGGCTGGAAAGAATGGCTGTACTAATTTAGGAAAGTTGGCAAAATTGGAACAATCTAGAACGGCAAAGCAAAGAGTTTTCCAGCAACCATTTCAAGTCCTAATAGCTGTGTGTATAGAAGATAGAGCAGAGCAAAAGAAAGAAATAATCAAACAACATCATTCGTTAGCACAAGCAGAGGGTCTTGCTTGTGATTTGGCAGCGTCTATATGGGAATGGATTCAGAAGAAGGAATTCAAGAATGACATAGAGGAAAAATTAGAGGAGCCATTTGATCCAAGAATATTAATTAAATATAGAAGCACAATAAACGACTCCTTATTTGCAGCAATAATAGAGGGTGATGCGGATTTTGTTTGCATCACATTTTTACAAGTTGAAGATTCCATGTCATCCATCCTTTGCGCTTGAGGACAAGCACCTTTCGAGAGAGACTATAATGTTATGGCAATGCTGGACTTAGGGTAGTTTTACTGCTGTATTTAGGGTGGTTTTATTTAGTTATTCAGTTTTTATCATTAGTTAAGCTTGCTCTTTCTGGCTTCGTTGAATCTCTTCGTTCTGCTGCTTTTTCGTTGAAATTTGACTCCGCAGCTGAGCAAACGCTCGAAACATAGCGTTAGAGGAATGCCTTGAGCGAGCCGAGTGCCCTATCCCCGAAGTACCGATTTGCCCCTAGATCCAGCGCCAACCGATCTATAAGCTTGGCCGGGCCAACCATTGATCTAATTCGACGGCGTTCCCGCTTTTTCCTTAAGAGATGCCGGGCTTCTGGTGTGGGGTTTGGAACTTGGGTGAAGGACCAAGCAAACAGAACGTTATGGGGTAGTTCGCAAAGGAATGACTGATGGTGGTAGCCAAGGTTAATAAGGAATTATGAATGCTAGTCTTGTCTTACGATCTCCGTAATCCCCCTTTTTACCAGATTCCGAATATAGCCAAAAGGAGGGCTGGTGGGTGTGGAAGGGGCCTAGCCGCCTCCGTCCCTCACGTCGCGTAATCGAGGTGGCTAAGGGGGCCTCCCCTGACTGTAAGAAAAAGGAAAATCTAACTCCGGAGCTTTGGTAGCGTTGGAAGCTTTGGGAACCTGGACCATCCCCTTTGCTTATTGAAGCTATCGATCTGATCTTAGCCTAACTCCTCCCGCACCTAAAGGAAGATGCTTTTTTATCCACTGGACATATGGCCTACGACCATAAAGGCTCCTCCTACGAACCTATTGACCTATGAACCGTCCGAACCTAAGGAATATGAAGTTCCGCATCGGGAAGCTACTCAATCAATAAACATCTTATTCTCATCCACTCAATATCATTTCCTCGTCTTCCTCCATGAGGCTACTACTTCGACTCGGGATATTCCGTATGTTAGGACTAAACTGGATCTACTCATGCCTGGACCGACTGTGCAATTACAAGAATCCGCACGCTGCCCGTCCGCGGAGGCCTATTCTGGTAGGAAGGCCGGCCACCAACACTAACATAAGATAGGGCTGGCGGAAGAAAGCTCGAAAGCTTAGCTTCCCTTGTCCCCCTTGTTTGCCCAAGCTTTTGAACTTCCTGTATGTAGTAGTTAGCGCGAAGTTTCCATAAACCGAAGAAGACAGGTTTTAAGAACTCAACCATACATAATATGTAATTTTGGGTTGGTTTTTCCAACATATTTCCCTACTAACCTCTCGGTGATTTCTTTCCTCTAATCTCCCTTTTCTATTCCCCTATACTATCTTGGCATGGACTAGTTAAGTGAGATACCGGATTGATTTCTACCTTGACGACATATATAAGACGGAGCCTACACCGTTTGGGGCCAGAGTAAGTAAGGAGTAATCCTCTCTGTCTAATCACCGAGTCCGCATTCCAATTCGGTCATCTGGTTCGGATGGTGTTCACGCTGACCGTTTACATGCCCTATATGTTAATCGACTGCTTCTTTAATCAATTTAGGTAGCGATTTGCTCTACTTTAGATCTCTCTTGTAGAATGCGCTCCTTTTTAGCTGCTAATCTTTGATTTGATTAGAAAACTATCTAGGGATTACAAAATGGCCTCTGTATCCGCCTTACCAGCTTATACCGAACGGAAGTCACGAGAGACCAGATTCATCTAATTTGGAATTCTCTTTCTAACCTTTTACCTGCATGCAAAGAAGCTCTTAGTCTACCCGAAGAAAAGTCAAGAGAAAAGCAATCCAGTCAAGAGAAAGGCGGCCTGTTGAACTAGGATAGGAAAAGGAATTCACTCTTTTGCCTGTCTGGTCTACCTGATTGGGAGCTAGCTTAGTCCATTCAATCAGCTAGCTATCCCCATCCCTAACAATTTCAAGGTGGTTGGTACTGGCTCAGTTTAACAGTGATCTTCTTTTTCTTCTCACAGCAACAACCTTTTCCTTCTTTCCTGGCTTGTCATGTCTTTTACTTGATTGAAATAGCAGTGTAGGATTAGCTACTGGTGATGGAATCCTACTCCGACATCGGGTCTAGTTTTCCGGACAGTCACTCTTCAAGGCTAAGATACGATCCGCTGGTATCCGAAGCCTTTGACAGCAAGAAAGGAGATCACCAACCATTCCTCAGCAGTTACTGACTTGGCAGTGATCATTTCTTTGCTCGGTCAATCCTGTAACACGTGCAATCCTGTCTTTCACTAATGCCACTAGGCCCCAATCTCCGGAAACTGGCAGCAGGTAAAACAAGTCGGCAATTCCTGTCTTAACTAAATTGAATTGTGTGTTCTACAGTGATCCAAATCAATCGGGAGTGGATGCCAGGCCAAGGTAAGCATGCCACTAGCTTTCTGACTAAATAAGGGAGAATGGCTAGAGTAAGCTATCATCAGTAGAATAGATCCATAACAAAGCAGCTCCCCAATAAAGAAAGACTTTTCTGGATATCCACTTAAAGTTCATGAGGTCAACAAGGAGTACGAGCTGCAAGGTACAATGGGTCAAAAGTGAAGGGGAATTACCTTCATATTAGTAGAACAAGATATTAAGAGAAAGGGGGATTTGGTGAAAAGTGGAACATGATCAAAGAGATAGGTAATGGAGAAATTACAAATGAAAACACACAATTCTAGCTGTTTTGGCTCGCAATAAAGCTAGGGTCCTGATCGAGCAAGACTACGTCCTATCTATCTACCTCTCCAAACACAATATCTTGAGTACCTATGATGGTGACTACATCTGCTAGCATGTGATGTTTAGACATAAAATCGAGTCCTTGTAAATGGGCAAAGCCAGGTGCTCTTATTTTACAACGGTAGGGACGATTACTCCCATTACTGACAAGAAAGACACCAAATTCACCTTTAGGTGCTTCAACTGCGGTATAGGTAGAAGAAGCTGGTACGGAAAAACCTTCTGTATAAAGTTCGAAATGGTGAATTAAGGATTCCATGGATAGTTTCATTCGAGATCGTGATGGAGGACATAGCTTACGATCATCGGCTTTGATCATGCCACTAGGCATTTGATTAAGACATTGCACAATGATCCGAACACTTTGTCCGGTCCCATCTCTTCTCCTCAAACTAACGTGGTAGTTTCCCATCAATAAGGCTTTCTATCTATAGATTAAGCCATTACCAAAGGAGCTAATTCGTTCAAGAACCTCAGTTGACTGCTTCTATAGATAAGGCGGAGCGTCCCTTGGCTCAGTATTATAAGCACTAGCTTCGACGCTACTACGGCGCTAGCTAAACTCCGAAGCCCTCGCTATGAGAATCTAGCTTCGCTAACGCTCGCTAAGTCCTTGAACCTTAGCGCTGACCGTTTCGTTTCTCAGTAGCAAAAAAGCGCTCTCTTTGCCCCTAATTAAGTAGAAAGGACAAAGAAAGAGATTTTTTTGTTTTAATTGCTTCCACGCTCCGTCAAGCCAACTTTGGCTTTTTTGAGGTGAAACAGCGGGTTGAAAGCGGGCTGATTTCGAAAATGATAGCATCCGAG